GAGGTACAGGAGTCATGTCAGATTCATCCTCTCAGGGTAATGCTGGGGATAAGGAAAAGTCCACGGAAGGTGAAGCAAATGAGGAAAACAATGAAGAGAGCAAGACAGTGAAAGGTACCTCAATTAAAATCTTTTCCATTCTCATTGAAGTCTTGAAGCCTTACTGCTAAATGGCAAAATTGTACACGTGCTATTGAAGCAAATATCCAAGTTTCCACAGCACAAAGAAACAAGGTGTATTACTGCTCCTCCCTTGGATGGGATGTAAGTCTGTAGCAGGTTAACTTACCTGCTGCATTTCATGTAGTCTTTCCAACAGATTGCTTAAACTCGTTTATTTTGAAATTCCTAGGTACATTTCTTGTAGTTATGACATGCAACTATCAGTAAATGCTGCAATTTGATTTCTGCTCTTTTCTTTTTTTGGAGGTACCCCCCCCCCTTCTTTCCTATTCAAGATCTTAAAAAGACTGTTGACATGAGACTTAGTTCAGTAGTGGGGAGGCAGGAAGGGGGTTGCAGAGTGAGAACGCAGGGAGTGATTATTTACTTGTGAAAATGTTAATGCACTCCACAGGTTTTAGTTAGGATTATACCCAGGCAGCCATGCTTCTAACATTATGCATAGATAACTTGTCTATGAATTAGATTTATTGATAATTTCTATATTGTTCCATCAAAAAGATGAAGAAAAAGAAAATGATGAAGCTAAGAAGGATGAAGGCCAGGAAGATGATGGTGACAAGAGCAAACCTGTTGCCAGTCAACTAATTCCAGGAACAAGCTGGTGTGTGGTATGGACTGGAGATGAAAAGATGTTCTTTTTCAATCCTACAACGCGACTGTCCATATGGGAGAAACCAGAAGAGCTGGAGGATAATGATAAAGTTGATGATATTGTCAGCAAGGGACCTCCTAAAAGGCAACCGTCAACTGAATTAAGTATGGGATACTACAAAACATTTTACTGACATTTCATTTTGATTTTCACCAATTTAAAATTTGATATTGAGTGTTTGTGTTTTGATTTGCTCACAATTAGAGAGAGAGAACAAGACTCCAACAGATGAAGATACAGATGAAGTCCCTCCAGCCAAAAAACAAAGGTTCACAAATTCTCTTCTTTAAAAGAATCTTTAAGAACAGATTATCTAAATAGTTTAAACCAATGATATGTTACATTAATAAGAAGTTCCATTTTGCACAGTGAATAGAAATGATAATGCTTTCAAGACACTTAACACCCTAACATCATTATGTATTTTCTCTGTACCCATCTCCCTACATTTTTTACAGTGCTGACAAGGAGAATTTGTTTAACAATCCAACCTTCTTTTGGTGATCATTTCCTTTGTTCTCATGACCTTACTGGGCAGTCTAGGGGTGATATTTTTAAAGAGAAATTATATGCTACTGTAGTCACTCCTAGGGGTCTAAGGGATAAGAAAATCAGACAAATACAATAAATGCTGAGCATTTTTGGTGTTGATATTAGGACTGCAAGCCAAAGTGAGGAAGTACTTGATGAACCAATGACAGAAGAGGAACTAAAGGAAGATGTGCCACAATCAAAGCCCTACGAAGAACAGGCTCCGCCAGCTGAAGAGCCTGTAGCTGTAGTCCAAACAACCAGAAATGTGCCTGCACAGGAGAAGAAAAAGATGCTTTCGCTTGAGGAGAGAATGAAAGAGTTCAGAGAAATGATGTTAGAGAGAGGGGTTGGTATACAGAAAATTTTGTTATTTTAAAGTACAGTGACATAACAAACAATTTTGATGTAATCCTTGTACTCCAAAGATGATGTCAATCATATGCTGATAAGATTGCATATTCTCATAACATATGTTGCTGAGTTGTGTATGGCTATTAAGGGGAAGAAATCCCTTGTTAATGTTCTCTTTCATACCCAAGACCTCATAAGGCACTCAACTTACTATCTGTTACACAATTCTGAGAATGTTACACGTAGTTCAGAAAATTTGGCGTTGATCCCCAAATTATTATTTACTGTAAAAACCTGCAGATAAGCCACACCTTTTTTCCCGAAATCGTTGCTAGAAATTGGGGGTGCGGTTTATATGCAGGAACATTTGAAAAAGGTGTCGTGAATGTTGCATCCGATCTAATGCCTGGTTACTAAGCTTCAAATGTTCCACTCATGTTCTTGCTGTAATGCAAAAGACTATGGAAAAACTGTGTTGAATGAAGAAATTCCTGTCAACAAATACCAGAAAAAGATCAATCATTTGTCAAAGTTGGTAGAAACAATTTTTATTATATTAAAGTGCTAAAATTGTGGGTAAGACTTTGAAGTATTTTCTGTTGCAATGTTAACAATGAGTTTATGTTCAAAGAACAGTAGATGAAGAAGACTTGTCAAGACTCGACCTTGGATTTCTTTTGATTTCTTTCAAAAAACATTTTTTCCAAAATTTGAGCTGCTAAATTCAGGGTGTGGCTTATCTGCAGGTTTTTATGGTATCTCTATTCACATCATTTGTTTGCTAGATATTGTATTGATATTGTGACAAGAAATTTTTACTTGGTCACTCATAGGAGTTAAATGATAATTGTGAAGAAGATTTAAACTTAATCTAAATTGTTTTTAAGGTGACTGTAAGGATTGCTTTTTCTTGTGAGTGTTCTGTTAGATACTGGGTAGATTCACCTACAGTGTCATTTAAAAAACACACTCTCTTGTTGGATGAACACAGAATCACAACAGCATTTTACTGAATTAAACAATCACAAATATTTACTTTTTGTAGGTGTCAGCATTTTCAACCTGGGAAAAAGAGCTGCCAAAAATTGTATTTGATCCTCGATTTTTACTGCTGACCCAAAAAGAACGGAAGCAGTGTTTTGAAAAATTTGTGCGCACACGGGCAGATGAGGAGAGGCAAGAAAGAAAGAATAAACTGAAGGCCAAAAAAGATGAGTTTAAGGCTCTGGTAGAAGAAGCTAAAACTGCAGGAAAGTAAGTTTATTGATTTCTTCATTACAAGCTGTATACTGAGTCATAGCACATTTTGAAAAACTTGCCTTTCAGGTCTCTGTCCTTTGACAGAAGACATACTGTAAAGTGACACTTATGAATGCCAGCTTTTTCAAATTTGTTGTAGTCCTTCATCTACTTTCATTTCATTAGCATCTTGTTGATAACCAATACATAAACACTGTACATGACACATGTTATATTTTCAGAACATCGTTCAGTGAGTTTGCTATGAAGTATGGAAAAGATGATCGCTTCAAAGGCATAGAGAAGATGAAAGAAAGAGAGACTCTTTTTACAGAGTTTATGGCTGAGCTGAAAAAGAAGGAAAAAGAAAATCTGCGAGTCAAGCAAGATAAGGTTAGTCAGTTGCTCCTTTGGAGACCAGTGAGAGAGAGAGTTGTTGTGGCAATTTTAAGTGAGTGAGACAGGCGGGGTGGAAGGTTACAAAGAACGTGTGAAGTCTTGCAGTTTCAAGAAATTAAACTGTGCAACATCAATTGGGAATGTTGCTTAAGGTTTGGATTTACAGAGTGGGTGAACAGACATTTTAGTGAGATTTAAGAATGGGTTTGCTTAGAGTGAAGTGTGAACGTTATTCTCCTGGTATGACTAGGAGCAGACCCTCTTTTTCAGCAAAGTATGTTGGATGAACCTGAAAAAAAAAACTGGTTGAAAAAATTGATGTTGGTACATGGCCTGGAACCCTGAGTTCTGCACAACATGCTAACATTGATTAACATAGTTGGGGACTGCTCATAGTCTGATATTTGGTTAGCACATGTAGTGGCTGATTAAAAAATGAAAATAATATGTTTTGAAAATAGTTGACAGAGTACAGGGTGTTGGAATTTGTTTAATTTCTTTCCTGATGCCGTAAATCCTTGTGTAGTTGTTACTCTAATTGGTACATTGTAGATGTCACTTCAGGAAATTGTTTGAAATTCTTAGAGCTAGCAAGTGATTCATTCAGTGATTATCAGACCTGCAAACTTTTCCAAAAAGCCTGTGTGGGAATCAAGTATTGTGAAGTCTTTGATTCAGGCATTTAATATGACATTAGCTTCTCAAAATGAATTATCCCTGCCCTATTTTTTGAAAGCTGTGTTCATTCTGCTCATCACTTTTCCACATTAGTTTCCAGGTTATTTTGTGTGGCATAGATCCCAAAGCCCCATGAGATTAGAATTCTCCAGCCCCCATTTATCTTTCAGCTGTATGGCATTTGCAGTTTCATTTTGCTTGTCAGTATGTTTTAACCTTGTATCCGTCCATCTAATACAACACAGCACACAGTTGGCAAGGTTGCCTTGGCCTACAGTGAATTATGTTGCTTCTTTTTTGATCCTCTGTCTGTTCAGTGTTAAACCTGCCCCACCAGGTAACTGAGTCATTTCATAGCATTTATATCATTGGTTAAGACTTGCCTGTGTACTTCAAGGATAACCTCAAAGTATTTGGGTTTATCAGGGTAGTACACTTGTAAGAATGTTATTGAAGTGTAGTGCGCAATAATGTCACAACTTCCAGTGCTGTCATAGAGCCCAGTCAATTGGATACAGTTTTGCTGAAAGTCACATCTGTAAGCTTGGTTATATTCTTATCACAAGTATTTCCAGTTCAGAGTAATAGTTTGACAAAACTAGATGGACAAGAATTCTGGTACTGACAATGAATTCACTCAAAAATACACTTTATTTCTGAAGTCAACTGAATGCATCAGCTTTCTTGGGATTATACATTGGGGCACCATTCGATCAGATCTTTCAGATCTTTTTATCTTTTTATATTTTTTTAATTATCTGCCTTAAGTATTGTCTTTGGGGTAGAACATTTATGTACCTGTTTGAAATACAAATATTGTATAAGCACATACCAGATGAAACCAAACTTTTCTTCTTTCTACCTTTTCTCCTTTGAGATGTTTATAGTGATTGAAATAAACAAAGTAAAGTCCCTTCTTTTTCCTGCTTACCCATCCCATTTGTGCTTGTAATTTTAAAACGACATTTTGGAGATGATGCTCTGTAAACCTTTGCCTTGAAATGAAAAACCACAACAGCAACAGCATAATTATTTCTTATTTCAGACATTTCTTTCTCATCAAGCAGATTTTCATTGTATCAGGGTGGAATGAATATTAATGAAATGATTTGCTTTTATCAGATACAGAGATGTGGGCATACATGTTTTAAGAGATTAGTTTTTTTGTTTTTTTTTTTCCTAGAACACTAGGTACTATTTAACACACAAATTCTAAAAAATGGTACTCTGTGGAAGGTATCAACTGGAATGAAAGTAAAATTGAGAAAGATTTAGGAAAGGGCCATTTTGCTGCATAATTGAAGTCTCTATACTTAAGCACAGGATTAATTCTTTCTTTCACCTGCATCCAGAAAATCTTGCCTTTTTAAAAGTTCATGACTAGGTAAAGTTCACCATTCAGACTCAGAAAAAAATTAATATGTTAATATTTTCTTATATGTCTGAAGATAAACATCGTAAGTATTCACACACTATTTGTAGTCTTCAAAAAGATGAAAGGTCTCATGGTTTGCAGTACTATAAACGTTATGCCTTTTTGTTATTATTAATTTTTCCTTCTGTTATTTTGGTTCCTACAGATTCGTAATGATTTTGAGGAACTATTGGATGAACAGAAACTAGACAATAAGGCTCAGTGGCGTAAGGTTCGTCACAAGATAGAAAAAGACCCTCGCTACAAGGCGGTGGAAAGTTCTTCACAGAAAGAAGAGTGGTTTAAGGAACATATCGAACAAATTTACAAGGTGATTTGTTAAGGGCCTTTAGCATGGAATAGTGTACCAATCAGTCTAAAACAGGCCCCCTCTTTAAGTACTTTTAAGTATGCTTTAAGTATTAAGAATATTAAGAATCTCGCTTCATACCATAAATTTGCAACATGCTTGCTGAACACAGGTTACCAAATTGGTCACTTGCTCTGCAAATTAATTTTTAGTGACAGGATTTTCTATTTTGCCCTCGCAACTGTAATAATTGCAATCTGGAGCATTGCAGGCTTCAGAGTGTTAAGAGTGAGTATCTGGTCAGAGTTGATACACACCTAAAACAGAATCTCCCTCCTCTTCAACCTGCAGAAAGAGAATGCAGATAAAGAAAAAGAAAAAGAGAAACAGGAAAGAATAGAAGCAAGTCTCAGGGAACGAGAGCGTGAGGTCAGGGCAAGTCAAGCTGAACTTGCTAAGGCCAGAGAGAAGGAGAAGGAACAACACCTCAGAGACAAAGCTGAACAGCATTTCAATGCATTGTTAGCTGATATGGTAAGGAAGAATGTAATCTTTTTAGTAATAAAAGTAAGTGTGGGCTAGCACCTGCATGTACAGTTACAGCAGCTGTGACTAGCTTCTGTAAGTTGAAGTGAGTAGGAAGATGATGGGTTGTGAGTACATTTGAAGTAATCAAACAAAGTTGTCAGTTCTTTCAAAGAAATTGATGAGCAGTGTCCACAATAGAGTGAAATAGTAAACTTATTATCCACTGGAAATCAAGAAAACCATACATTCGTCATCAAATTTTAAAACTTTGAGGTTTCAATAGGTTTTAAGAGGTTTCATTAGCTGTTTGCAGAATTTAAAGCCTATTTCTTGAAAAAGCAGCTGTTCAAATTTTGCTGCAACTGTCTATTTATATCTCATTTGACCAACTTTGAATAAATAATTAACTAACTGTATCTGTAGTAATTATTTTCTTAATTTGTCACTTTGCCTGTGCATGGAGAAAGGCTGAGAGTTTTACAGCAAATGAAAGTTAACAACCTTCAGTTCTCAGTTGACAGACAAAAACGATCAAGATGTCCAGCACAAAAATACTTGTTATAAATCATTTTACTGTCTACAGGTTCGCAATGCAGATGTAGGCTGGAAGGAGACAAAAAAGACATTGCGTAAAGACCATCGCTGGGGAATGGCTGATGCCCTGAGTAAAAATGACAAAGAAGCACTTTTTAAAAGCCACATAGAAAGCTTAAACCATAGAAAAAAGGAGCAGTTTAGAAAACTATTGGATGAAACTCATGAGGTATGTTAGTTAGAACCTCTTAATTCCAGTCTGTTCACTAAATGTAGAAAGCCAGATTGGATTGCATAATTGGGAATTACAGTATTTCCTTGAACAAGTATTTCATATAATTATTTTACAATTCCACCGAAAAGGAGGGGCACTTATTGGAAGGAGGGTGCTTAATGTGGCAGGGGGGAGGGGAAATTTATCATTCTCCTGTACTGATTATGCTGTTGTTGAAGCTTAATAAGTTATAACTTAAGTGGCACTAGAAACAGGTTTTGCCCCTAATATGGATTATTTTTTTCACAGTTAACCCTTACTTCATCATGGCGAAGTATTAGAAAACTAATTAAAGAGGACCCCAGATATTCCAAGTTTTCGAGCCAGGACAGAGTAAGTAAACAGATGATGATTAACAAATGCATTTGCTTGAAAGAAGCCTGCTTGTAGCTCTATATGTATCATATTTTGTACTCCACACTTTTTTTTTTCGGACAGAAACGTGAAGAAGAGTTTAACCAATATCTGCGAGATAAACTGGCAGATGCCAAAGGGGACTTTCGGCAGTTACTGAAAGAAACGCATTCATTAACATACAAGTAAGAGAAGGCTAACTTTTATCATATTACAACCTATATAATGTGAGTCAGGAATGCTAGAGGTTCCTTGGGCAGTCTGAAGGTCTACATGTAGTCCTAAAAGGACCACTGTGGGTTGTAATGAAAGATGTTTTGACAACCTAAGTGCAAGTCTTCATCAGACAGACTCTGTCCCTGACAGTGACTCTGGTGCAGGTGGTTGCAACATTAGCCATTGCTACCAACAGCTGTCCTTTGTAGGACCACTCTCGTATAGGAAAACAGAATTCCTTACCAACTGTTTCTCCTGGGTTCGATCTATTTACTGTAAAACTGGAGCTCTTGTATAGTGTTAACAATTGGAAACTTCAGTGATGTAGCCCAAGGTGGACCACAATGTGACATGTGTGTTCCTTTTCCATTCATTGTTTGTTTAGTTTCTTTCAGTGCCTCCCCACTTCTTTTGCTTACTTCTTGATAATGTGCTCCTCTGACTCACACTAATGTGACAAGTGTACTGAAACATTTTCAGTGTTGTCAGCCTTCTGCAACCCTAAGGCTCTTCTCAAAAAGCACTGAATTGAGCAGACCTAGCTAACCTATTTTCATAGGAGAATGCTCTGGAGTGAGGTCAAGCACTGTTTTTTTTTTTTTTATTTCTCCAGAACAAAGAAACAAATTGATGAATCTCATAAACATCTAAAAGATATCGAAGAAACTCTTAAGGTAAGTGCTCTTCATCCATTCAAATTCAAAAGGATACCTTTTAATTTTGACATAGTATAGCCTTTTCTAAACCTGCCATTGTAAGTAGGTGGCCTTTGTAGTTATGTTGAGAGTTTAATAAACATGAGGGTTTGTTTATTGTTGGAAAAAAAGTTGTGAAAGAATACCATGTAGTTTGCACTAATCTATGATTTAAGTTTTTAAGTTTTTATGGAGAGGTCAGGAGAGGATTGTGAGAACAGCTGTAATCAAGTTGTATGAAAATGGAAGATTGAGAGTCTTAGATTATGAAAGTTTAGTACAATCACATCACTTATCATGGTTAAAAAGGTTGTACGGTGGTGAGGAAGCTGGTTGGAAGTGTTACCTCAACCATTTGCTAAAACCTTATAGAGGATCCTTTCTCCTGTATAGTGATTATGGCCCTCTAGGCTCATAAGTTCTTAGGCTTTCTTAAAGGGGAAATGAACTTAGATGTATTTATTGTTAAATTGCTTGAAAAGTTGCTATTAATTCAATATGAATAGTAATCATGGTTTTGCTTAACAGAGATTTTAGTATATTAAAGTTCACACGGCAACCAGGTGGACAATCAGACATAGTTTGAAGCTACACTGGTTTGCAGATTTAATGAATGTGACCGAAGTTACAATTCTTAGACCCTATTTTCCTATGAATTGTAACTTCGGTCACATTCATTAAATCTGCAAACCAGTGTAGCTTCAAACTATGTCAGAGATTTTAGTAACTCAACTTATATCAGAAGTATGGTACTGTCATGACTGTCACTGAAGTCTCAATTATAAACTTTGCAACATCATTATTAATCTTCACATGGTTTGATAATAACTGTAGTTTGTTCTCAAAGAGAGAATATTATCTTCGATCAATCATTATTTCTCCTCCCTGTCTAACCTTGCAGAAAGACAAAAGATACTTGATACTGGAATGTGTTCCAGAAGAACGAAACAGATTGCTCAACAGTTACATTGATGAGCTGTTCAGGACTGGACCACCCCCTCCTCCAACAGCTTCCGCACCATCAAACAGATCCAAAATGCATTGATGAAGAGCACAAGAATATTATTGCACAATGAAAACTGACTTTTACTCTCTTTGAAGTAAATGATATTGACCTGAATTTCATCACAAAACACCCTTGATACTTTTATTCAGTAAATACATGAAACTCTTTGAAATTTGATTTTTATCCTATGGTCCTTGAAATTCTGTTTTGAAATCTCTATTAACTGGTTTATGGCCTTTTTTTTTAATGTTGATGAGAAAAGATTTGACAGAGATTGTCTTTGGCCACAGTGCAGGCATCTCATAAAATTAGAGTGAGTTTATATTACAAGCTGGGGATTGTTTATTCAACCCATCATGTTAGATTTAGAGAGGGGGATTGACCCCACCCCATCCTCTCCTTCTTTTTGACTATCCCTCACCCCTTTGGTACAAATTTCTTCCTCTTTCTATTCTTCCCCTTCTATAAAAATCACAGATGGCAGCTATAATTTTCACCAAGAAAATACTTAGTGGTTGCTTGCCAATCAACAATCAGATCTTGGGAGTTACAGGGTTAAGACAGCTTTTGGTTTTACTCTTGTTTTGAAACTGAGTTACCTTTGAAAGAGAAATGGTTTAAAGACAGTTTAGAGGTACCTCTCTTTTGATTGATTTTCAAGCTTTATTTTTAGACTGAAAGCTTGAAATTTATCTGGGATTGGAGAGAAATGTTTAGCATTGCTATTTTTACAAATTGTGCCTTCCTTTTTGCTCTTAATGCCCATAACATTGTAAATTTTGCATTCATCTTGGAAAAATCAAATGGTGCAGTCAGTTATAAAATACATTTCTTTAGGCAGCATTTCTACCAAATTTTCTTGAAAAAAAAGAGGAAGCAAGAAAGATTAAGCTCTTTTTTTGTCTTATATGCTCATATCTTGGCCATGAAGGTGAGAAAAATTGAGATATGACTACTGTTTGCTGCTAAAAAAGATTATGATGTAGTATTGTCATTTTTTTCTTCATTATTTATATGATCCTTAGGAGTGCATTTTGAACCTCAGTATTTTAAGCTGAGAGCTTCAATTTTGGTACTTACTCATTGTTCTTTTATTTTAACCCGTTAACCCCCCAGAAGTGATTAACATGTAACTTCACCATATAATATAAATACATTATCCAACAAACAGGTGATAAGAATACTCAAACTTATCAGGTAGAAGTTATCTTAATCTAACAAAAATTTCTCCTAATTGATTTGAGAGGAAATGTGTAAAAGTTAGTTGGGAGAATTAACAAGCAGATCATTGGAGTCAATTGATGTGTTCTAAGCTCAGGTCTTGCTTCTCAGTGTACGCAAGATTCTGTTATCCTTTCACCATTTCCATTCCATCTAGTAGTGTTTTTAAAAATCTTCACCCTTTCATGTAGATTGTGATAATAAAAAAAAAAGTTGTACCTTACAATAAAAGTCTTTGGAAAAAGTAATTGTTTTGTTTCCTTTTTTTGTCTTAAATCATTCAAAATGTACTTGCTGCCAAGTAATGTAATTTATCAGCTTCTCAGTCACTTCTAGCCATGTTATGAGAAAACCTCTTTAACCTTTCATCATGTTAATGTGCTTTATTACAAGGAAGTGTCTTTGTCATGAGTTTAGGGTCCAAATAATTTGTTCACAGTTCAGAACTGTCTTCCCAAAACAGCAAGAAATTGGACTTCTTAAGGGCATTTTTAACTTTATTCGACTGATCAAAAAATAAAATGGATTTGTACAATTTTCTTTTCCATTCATTAGAGTTTTGAGATATTAAGAGTTACAATTGAACTGCAAATCTAATAGTCTAGGAAGTCAGCAGCTGTCACCTAAGCAACAGTGCTTATGAATGGTTTTTCATTGCAACTGGCATGAATGTGCAATGTCTCTTGAGATGATACTTTTTTTCCATTTTCTTGAATGACTGTTCTTGTCAAAACAATACCCATAATCTGTTACTAGTATGTGGCTGTAGAGAGCCAACCTATACCCCATTGCTGGTCATCGATGGAATGCATCATCTCAATTGTGGTTGGTTCCCCAGTGGCACAAGCCTGACCAAACATCTTTGTCAACTAATAACAAAATGAGAGTACAACTATTTACACCATACTTTAATTAATAGATTACATTTTTAGGTGTAAAATGGATAGTCTTAGATCTTAACAAAATATTTTAATTAATCTAGTTGTGCAATGTAATTCTCCTTGTCATCACATGAACAGCTTTTCGTCATATCAAAATCCTATTTTCACTCAAAGCCAATTAAACTATTTTCCACAAAATACAAATTGATCATCAGCTGTTTTCTCCTAGGACAGATAGGAATAACAAGAATTAAGGAAACAATCAGACTTCAACATGTTCTGATACGACAAATACCACTGAAGTCTTGTAAGACAAGTAAAAGTGAGTACTTGAAACAGCAAGGAGAATATTTATCTTGATCACTGGACAAAAAAAAAGTGCCTAACTTCTTATTACGTACTGATGGATGGGTCACCTGCATACATTATATATCCAATTTTTCAAACTTCAAATCCCAAATATTTCCTTGGAAAACATCAGTCCACTTTCATGATCATTGTAAAATCTGCCTTTTAGGGATGTAATATGCAGAACTGCATATTTTTTTGCAAAAAAATATTTGCAGGTGACCAGCATGGAAATTTTTCTCTGTGTAACATCTGATGAGTCTGAAGAGATACTTCTATTAAATCAAGTAACTACAATTATTGTATTATTGTAAAAGAGCATGGCTTGAATAAGAAAAAAGCTCTTGCTAATGAGTCAGGTAATAGATCATGGAGTTTTAAGATAAAATGATCCTAATGGCACTTAAAGTCCAGGAACAAGTAATGTATGTATTTTTTTTTTTTGATAATAAGGTCATTTTATGCCCATGGAAATGAAAACGTTACATGCAAGTGTCACTAAACTATTACCTTATACTGTTAGAGGAAACTTAAAACATTAAATTAAAAATCTAATATTAATATACAGATTAGAGTGGGGAATATAGCCACAACCTAGAAAACCTCAGTACAGATTGAGACTTTGTTATACTTGAAAGACTTGTACATGTAGTATTTATCTACTGGCATCAACACTGTTGCATGCACAGTCAGTGCAAACACTAACTGATACCACTGAACCTTCAAATTGAAAATTTCTAGGAAATGAGAAAGCTCATTTACATAAAAACAATTATAGGGCCTCCATTACCTGAACAGCTGAAAGCAAATACAAAGATTCAGCTGTGTTTCATATCACCACTTTGTTTCCCTTGGCAACAAATTTAACATACAGTGTACACATAATTTTTTTTTTGGAATATTTAGGTGCTTGGATTAAACAGTAAGGGTGTTCATTTTGTAGCAACGTTAAATTATAATTCAAATTTTATGTTTTTCTACTGCTAAGCTGCTATGAAAGCAGTTTATAATTGAAGAAAAAAATTCACATTAAAATATTGTAAGTGCTATATGAAAGATATTCCATGATTTTGCTTTTCTTGTACCATACATTTACTTACATCTTAGAAATTTATTTTTCTTAATTAAATAATTTGAACCAACAGCAAATCCTACAGAAGTTTACTTGTTGACCGAAAAAAAAAATAAAAAATAAAAAAACAGCAACAGACAGAATAAAGAACAATTTTGATCACATGAAAATTGAATTCAGTTTTGGCTGGTGGTACAAATCTAAGCTGTTAAAGTAAGGGGTTGCACAGTTTCAGAAAGTGGCATATAGTAACTGTGACCCCGATTATCATGACTGTAGAAGTACCCTCTCTGTGGGCCTGGTTGCCACTGCTGGATTCCCTGTGCAGGACAACTATGAGGTCGTTCGCCAGTGAAGGTGTCTTTGTAGGTTGTATTCATTGTCATCTCCCCACTCATTGGCCTGTGGGCATCGTGACGGGCAGGTTTGGCTGGAGGTACATACTGCCCTCTATAGTGACTTCGCATTGTGGATTCACCATGGAATTTTCCAGATGGTGGTCTGTATTCATCGGGTCGGCCACTCCTTTGAGTTCCTTGTAATTCCCATGCCTTGAATGCATCTTTATGTGTTGTACTATCCTCAAAAGGCTTGCCAGATGCAAATGACGTGACTGGAGGTTTGGCACTTTCAGCTGGCGGTATGTCCCACTTTGGGTAATCATGCTGAAAAGTGGTGTTGGTTAAAAACTTGGCTGTTGGTGGTCTGTAGGCTTCCTTTGCTCGTACTTCTCGCTTGGGAATCGCCCAGCGCCTATAGGTCACACCTGTGGTAGTGTCTCCTTCAAATGGCTTATTTGACTTGATGACATCCTGAATTGGCTTGAAACTAGAAGCAGGCCTGCCACCTCTGTAGGCAAAATCATCCATAAATGTGGTATTTCCTTTGAAAGGTTGGCTGGTAGTGGGGCGTTTCTCAACAGGTTTGGCTGATTCAGCTGGGAGAACCTGTTTTCTAGTGTAATCAAGCCTAGTAGTTGTGTCACTCTCCATAGGACCCTTATTCACGCGGATTTCTGAGTCTGGCGGCCGGATCTGCGGACGTCTTCCCAAATAGTATCCAGGGTAGTCGGTTTGAAAGATGGTTTTACCATTCATTTTGCCATCTCGAGCCGCTGGCATGGCATCTGGTTTCATACTTTCCATCTTGCACAGCCTCAAATCCCAAGGCCTGTAAGTATCTTGATGGACTGTACTGCCGTCAAACGGACTCTCATGAGCATGAAACGTTGCTAGTGGCTTGGCAGATGTAGCGGGAGGGACCACGGTTCCGGGATAGTCATGTTTGTAGCTGCTTTCACCAGCCATCTGCCCTTGCGGCCTTATGTACGGGGCCTTTTCGCGTTTTGTCGGAGGGGCATACGAATGTGGGACATAATCAGTCGAATAATTTGTTTTTTCGTCCATCGGCTGGGACGAGTTTTTGACCGTGTATTCTGGTTTGAACGGCAATCTGCGGTCGAGAGGATGTCTCTTGTAGCGATCTTGATACTCTGTAAATCGACATGGATGAACTGGAGTCTTTGCTTCGGGTCTGTGGGCGCATCGATGCCTCCTAAATATTAAAAAAATAAAAATAAACCTTCCCTCTAATTTCCTAAATAATTCTGTTAAACGCTACGATTATAGACATCTCCTCATGTTCGTAAAACCAAAAGTCATTGAAAACACGCCGCGATGATTGAAAGCAATGGGCAAAACAGAATCATCGATAATGAATAGGAAATGAAAATTTAGAAATATTTCACTTACCCACACGTACAAATCTGACAAATACAAAGTGTCTTGACCATCTTGAAAGTCTCCTCTATTTCAAACGCAAGTAATCACAGCAAATAAATCCGGTCAAACCACAAACCCCATCTCTCTTCGTTTTCATCAAGCAAGTTGTTTATGGCCGTTGCCATTGCCGCGTCTGTTGCCACGCGCGCAAGTGAACTTGGTTAATAACAATGGCTATTGTAATAACGAGCTCTGATTGGCTAAGTGGAATTTAATTGGTGACATATGTAAAGGAACATGAATTGATGAGTATAAACATGTGGTTTTCTTTCATTGTAATTCAATATTTTTAAGCATCGTGTAGTCTTTGTAAGTCCAATATTTTTAACAGACACCTTTTTGGATCCTTAGAAAATCACATGATAGTGTTCTTTAATTATTTTGCTATCCTGAAAGCCAATACATGTAATGCTATTGGATGTCATTCAGGGGACATTTATTTACGAAATAATTGTCGAACAGCCGGAGGCAAACGTCGATGAGCTTCGCCTAGCAACAATAAATTTTGGGATTTCAATTATCTGTGTTTAACAATCAGGAACGTCTAGATAGTTCTGTAAATTATTATGGACTAGAGGAATATCAAAACATCGCACATTACGGACATCACAAGACGGAAAAAAACCAGATCAAACAAGCTCATGACGAAGGTAATCCGTAAATGTCAATCTGTTGACCAAGGTTTTCGTCCCTGAATTTTTTCAGTTTACAAACTTTTATTGTCGTTTGTTTTTACATGAATTGCAATTATTCATACACTCAGGCCACAAAAATTTTGCAGGGCTGAGTTGAATTTTAGTAACCCTGAAGGAGCCATGATTTATATTTCTTGACATTACCATCAAAATTTTAAAGCGAAGTTATCTATTCAGAAGGAGAGGAGTTTACCATGTCGAGGCGGTGGGAGTAATCCGCATCGATTGCTGTTTGTTTAGCCGGTATATTCAAATTATCAGCGTGCAGCCGGTACATTCGCAAGACGTTTGCACTCATCTTAGACATTTTAACGAGTATTTGCTTCCGAAAACGCAAGGAAACGACCCTTTTAATTAATTTAGACAGCGAGCAGACCCTCGTTCGTGGAAAAATTTCAGAATAATTACGTTAAACATAACATAAATTTTCTTCCTTGAGTTTATTGCAAATCAAACGTTTATCTTAATCAA